GAGCCGCGGCATGCATTTAAGCCGCGGCTTAAATTCTTAAAATTCGGCCTCCGTTTAATTATACCTTTGACTGCTCAAGGATGACAGACTTTTTCCATAGAAACGCTAGTACTTTAGTTGGACACTTTGTTCACATACTGATTCAAGAAATATTAATATTTTCTTTCTAGAATATGAATAAATAAATTTTCACATTCGATTTTTTAAATTGCGTCGGGAATGGAATATTCTAGATTTTCCAGAAATAATTGGAACGGTGGCGCCATCTGCGTTGAGTTCATATTGGACGCTTGCATACACTACTCCCTTCACTAAGCATTAATTTTTAAAAATCAAACTTTTTACATTTTCAATGCCTCATGAAAAATATCTTTTCTACTAATAAGTATGCCGAAGATCATTAAAATCACCCAAAAATTGGGTAACAGAAGGTATCTCTTTACTCGATCTTTGAGATTTTCTGTATTTTAGACAGGGTTAACCCAAAAATGAAATTTTAACGGTGTTCTTAAAAGAGTTATAGATTGACTTTGATCTAATGTAATACACAATACGCATAAAGAGATTTTAGGGAAAAGACAATGTCTTCATGGAATTGAAATTAGAAATAAAAGAAAAAAGTCTTTAGATTTTTTTTGGACCATTCGCTTCTAGAGTCATGTCATTTATGTGAAGCCCTATTTCCTAGATTAATAACAATACAGGTAAACCACTATATATCGTTTCAGATTTAGAGATTTTTCGTTCACAATAACCCTGAGACAGAGTACGGAGGGAAGCCAACCTCCCCCGCACAGCTTCCGAACCTCATTTTACCTATTAGCGGCAGCTACCGAACCTCCCCCAAACAGTCTTCCGGGAAGGATCTTCCATTTATAATCGCCAATTTCTACTTAAAATGGGACTAATTGGATCATTTTTTTACAATCAAATTTCGGGGAGAAAATAGCATTGTTTTACAGATTTTTTTGATCACAAATCTTGGAATGGCTGACACTTTCTTATGAATATTTTGTAGTAATAAGTAGACATATGAAAAGTTTTCTTCATAAAATGTCGTTTCTAAATAACATATCTGTTTGTTAACTTTCTTTCTAGTTATTGAGATATTTAAAGAAAAGAAAACTCTGTTATAACCTTATGATTTTAAAACTATCGCCGCCTTTTGTCACAAGTGCTACAGATTTGAAATATATATATATATATATAGAAAGATATTTACATTTTCATTAATTTGAGCATCGATGAAATTGCCTTTTCTCATTGTTTAATGCATTATTTTGCAGGCAAATTAACTTCATATAAATAATACGTTTTTGTCTGAAAAACGAATTTCATGTAAGTTTATGCGTTTACGTAAATTTCTTTATTTACAAGTTCAAGGGATTTGAAGCTATACAAAATTTCAAATATGGAATTGAACGTTGCAGGTGATAGAAAGAATCAACAAAGTTTAAGTTTTTCCTGCCCGAACTTTGATTGTAAAAAAAAAATTTTATGCAAATGTTAAGGATACTATGCTAAAATAATCAAATTAGTCCCGTTTTAAGTAGAAATTGACGATTATAAATGGGAGATCCGCCCCCGGAAGACTGCTTGGGGGAGGTTTGGAAGTCCTCTTGGGACATGCACTGCCGCAAATAGGTAAAATGAGGTTCGAAAGCTGTGCGGGAGAGGTTGCCTTCCCTCCCTCGGCAGAGGCCCAGAAGAGTTACGTGCATGCTCCTTCTCTGTCTTTTAATTCAATGCTGTCTGTGTGGAATTCCTTCGGCCACTGTCTTAGGGTTATTGTGAACGAAACACCCTTAAATCTTGAAAAAACGACATCTAGTGTTCTATCTGTATTGTTATTAATCTATGCCCTGTCCCTTAACAAACAAAAAACGATCCAAATGAAACTTCACATTTTGAATGTTTTCAAGGTTCTACTACTTCTACTTTCACTAAACACAAGCCTGTACAAGGTTTAACTTCATTAGCATAGAGAGCAATTTTCCCTTTCATCAGGACAAACTTTTAATCTATTTTCTCCTCAAACTTTTTTCTCCTGTTTATCCTGTTACCTTTTCCCCCTCCCCCGTTCTCCTGTTTCTCTTTTGGTTCTGTTTCCCTTTCTACTGTTTCACCTTTTTCTTCTTTTTTCTCCTGTTTCTTCTTTTTCTCCTTTTTCTCCTGTTTCTACTGCTTCTACTGTTTCTCCTGTTTCTCCTGTTTCTCCTGTTTCTCCTGTTTATCCTGTTTATCCTTGTTCTCATGTTTCTCCTGTTTCCTTTTTTTCTCCTGTTTCTCCTGTTTTTCCTGTTTCTCTTGCTTCTACTGTTTCTCCTGTTTCTCTTGCTTCTACTGTTTCTCCTGTTTTTCCTGTTTCTCCTGTTTTTCCTGTTTCACCTTTTTATTCGGTTTCTCCTGTTTCTTCTGTTTTGTCTGTTTCTCCTGTTTTTTCTGTTTTTTTTTTCTCCGGTTAATAACTTTCTGTTTCACTTGCTTCTCTTGTTTCTTCTGTTTCTCGTGTTTCTCTTGTTTTCTTGTTTCTCCTTTTTCTTCTGTTTCTCTTGTTTCATCTGATTCTCCTGTTTCACGTGTTTCTCCTGTTTCTCCTGTTTCTCTTGTTTCTTTTGTTTCTCCTGTTTCTCCGTTTATGTTATTTCTCCTGTTTCTCTTTTTTTCTCCTGTTTCTCCTGTTTCTCATGTTTCTCTTGTTTCTCCTGTTTCTCCCGTTTCTCCTGTTTCTCCTTTTTCTCCTGTTTCTCCGGTTGCCCCTGTTTCTCCTTTTTCTTTTGTTTCTGCTGTTTCCCATGTTTCTCTTGTAGTCTGGTGCCCCTGTCATGACAAATAAACAATGTCACCTTGTTTAAGAACAAGCCAGGACAAAACCCCATCTAAATAAATAATTGCTAGATTTTTAAACACTAGCAGATAAGAGTTTTAAGAAAATAATTTTGCCATTTTTCTCGTGACAATGTGTAAATTTTTAGAATAAAATAAAATTAACGTGTTTTATTCTCCTTTTTACTGTAATAATAGTAAACATTAAAAATTAGGTTTTAATATTTATGTAGGCGAAATATCAATACAAATTCGGATAATTTTTTTTGCAAAAAGACATTTGTGTTTTTTTAAGCTTTTTAAAGACTTGAAAAATTACTTTTGTTCAATAGAAATAATCATTTTTCTTTTCTCTTTTCCAGCACAATAGCACTGGATATCGAAGGGAATCTAAATGGATCCCAGGTCTGCATAAACTTGAATCCGCGATTCAAAAGTTTTGACTTGAGTTCGAGTTTAATAAACATCCCTTTTAAGAAAACACTTGTTGCACAATATTTTCAAATATCAAATTATTAAAATAACATATTATAGAAATCGTTTTTTTCCATTTATTTTTTGGAAGATAAGTTACTTATCTCAATTGTATTCAATATTTTTGTTTTCTTATTCCAAACCGCTAGTATTCTGGATTGAATTATTATTATGGCTCAAATGTATTATACCAATTATACAATGAAAATCTTTTTAGATACTGTTACCTGTCACTTTAAGAAAACAGACCTCGATAAATTTATTGTAAACGAAAATTTAAAAAAAACATTAGTTAATGTTTAGATATAGGAATGATCGATTTCTTTGATATGTTTAACCTAAAGGAACACCAATATAAACATTAAACATAGATTAACATGTTTGCTTTCTACAAGTATTTAATATTTTTTTTTTCAAGGTGTGCACTGTTATTATTCAAAAACTGATAATAAACTGTGAACACAAATCACTGTCAATTAGAATTTTTGCGCTCAAGAAAACTTATTTTGCATTTGCCAAAATTTGTCCTTGTTCTAAAAATAATAAAACAAAAGAATTTTTAATTAATGCATTGTTAAAAATATTTGGGTTGCTTTGTGACGTTAAAAGATACAATTTTTTTATTATTAAAGGGATTTTATTTTTGTTCACAAAGCCCTTTAACCCTTAATCTGATCAAAAGTGTTGAAAAGTCTTTAATTATGTTAATTTCTCCATTGTTTTGAAGCAAGACATCCGCAAGTCACTTTTGCAGATAAACCGCAAACGAAAATAATTATTTTTCAAAATTAATACTTTATCAAACAATGCTATTAAGGGTTTCATTGAGAACCAGTCATGGTAAATCCATCAAAATTGGATCTAAAGTGGAAGGCTCCTGTAAAGGGACCGTTCACTTATTTCGGTAATTTCAGGGCAAACTAAACAGCCTATTCGCTGTTGATCGGCATTAGTCTTACTTTTCAAAGACAACTGTGGCAGGAGAAAAAGCCGATTTTTCGGTCAGTTTTGAATTCATTTTTGTTCTTATCCTAGATATTTTAGATGAATAGAACTAAAAAAGAATTAATGGAAACGTTATTATTTTTGTTGCTACTTACATATAGGGGGGTTTGGATTTCTGACTTATTTTACTCATTTATCTCTTTGTAATAATTTCTAAAATTTCAAAATTACGTCGAAAATTGAATTTACTCCAGCAAAGTTGTATATTTGATACTTTAAAAGAAATATTTTAAGAGATCAAAGTTTCAGATTTGTGTTAGAAAATCATGTAAATTTGTTAAAGATTTACCAGCTAACAATCTCATTTTAAACTAAAGATTCTTAGTATTTATAAAAGAAATAAAGTTAAGTGGTCTAAAATAATAATAATTAATTACTTTCAGAGAACTAATAATTTCTGGTAATTATATTTAGAAAATGAGAAAAAAAAACATTTGTTTACTCCGAAAAAAAAACTAAATTTACAATCTGCAAGAACATGGAAAACTATTTTTATAAGGATAGATGTTAAATCTATAAAGGGGCTATTTGGAAAAATCATAAACCTTCTCTGAAAGCTTTGGAATACTATTTTTACCAAAATTACCAACCCATGATTTCCTAAACAGGGGGATGTTAAGCTACTTAACGTCCCTTGGGACAATTAAGTAAAATAAGTTTTCATGAAAAGATTCGCGCGTTTTCATCTCAAAAGACTATAAAAGTGTTTACAATTATTTTTCCGGGAAATTAAAAATTCTACTAATCCACGGCCGTTCCCTCTTGGGATCCCATGTAAAGTAAAATTCCCTTAACTTCCCTGTAAAGTAGCTGTAAATGATTATTGCTATATTATCCGTATTTGAATTCATCAAAAAAAACAGTAAACAATATACGTTAACATATACAATCTTGAAAAGGATGTCTTGGCTTTTCTATTTTTAGCTTGTGATTCATTTAGCAAATAAAGTGTGTGACGATTAGAGCTAATTTTAGCAGCAGTTTACGTGAATACATCAATAAGTACGTAATAATTTTTTTCAGATAATGATAAAAAATTCGTTATAAATAAAAGGAAAAATGTAAAAATCCTTCATTCATTGCTGGTCCTTTTTACATAATGGTCATACTATAAAAAGTGATGATGAAATGATAATGGTTCAAACTTTGACTGTTATTCATATCGGAAGAGTTTTGCAAGAAAAGTGATGAATTTTGGCGGGAACTAGATTAACTTTGGTTCCAACATGTCGGGGAATAATCCGCGAAAGTTCAAGGACCGTATTGCTCTGCTAGCACAGAAGCAGGCCGAGGGCACCCAGCAGTTTAAAGACATTATGCAAGCTGTTGCTGAGGTCAAGAAGCCGGTGAACTTGACCTTTGAAGGTCACGAGGTCGGGGAGGGGATGGTTATTCCTCGGCATGAGTTAAGTCCGGCAATTTTACACCCAGCACATTACAGGTGAACTAAATATTAGAGATTAAACAAATCGATTAAAGGGACTTTATTCATAATTTCAATTATAATTTCCATGCAAAGATGGCAATGGACGATTTACCGCGGTACCATTTAAAGCTCTGTCTGATCAAGTATTAATTGATATCAATGTTTGTGTTTCTTTAAACTAAATTTTCAATTTCAGTTTCTGCGCGAAAATTACTCGTGCATTCCTTGCTTATAAGAAGCTACAGAGAAACTTTCCGAATCCGAAAAACGACGGTATCTGCCTCATTGTTGATCAGATTTAGGTTTAAAGGGTACCGTTGTATATCGGGCACTGCAATTTTTGCTTCAAGGGTTAATTAAAATTACGCTTACAATCATTTTAAACGCCTCAAACTTTAACTTTTTAATCAGAGCTCTGATCTCTTGTATCGTGGATATCGATATCAATGTTTGATTGCAATTTTTTGTTAATCTGTAGATTTATTTAATCTTTATTCGATATTCTGCATGGTAATCGTTCCCTGGAGGAAAACTAAATGAAGAACTTAAGCATTGATCCTTAAATTAAAACTGCCCACAGTGGATATCGAGAGTATGCAATCGGGATTGTGAATATCATTATACGAAAATCCTACTCAAATTTCACTTTGAAAAAATGGCTGCGTTGTAGTCTTGTTATCAGTAAAATAATTCAGTTTTTGAACTGTTTTTGGTTACAGTACAGTACAGTACAGTACAGTACATTACAGTACAGTACAGTACGGTACAGTACAGTACAGTACAGTACAGTACATTCCAGTACAGTACAGTACAGTATAGTACAGTACAGTACATCACAGTACAGTACAGTAAAACTGTTGAATCATGAAACAAATTTTACAGCATCAAATAAGCTTAAAGGTCGTATTCATATTCCTCAGTTTTAAGGGTCTTACTGTATACCACCGTCAAACTCATTTATGCCATCCAACTCTGTTCTCTTTTCAGTAGAACACAAATTTACAATTTCAAATTACTTTAATCAAGTTTTCAAGTTAATTAAGTTATTGTTATTATTTTCTTAATTATAATTAGGATTTTGAATATCATTAATTAGATATTAAAGGTTATCCTCACATAGATACAAGTCAACCACAAATAAAAAAGAGTCTTGGCCGATATTATCTCAGCAAAAAAGACAAATATAAAATTGTTTTCCAATTTAAATATAATGCGGGTGTTTTTCTAAAAAAAGAAGCTTGCGTGATAATTCCGCAGAGAAAGCAAAAATAACGAAGATATCATTTAAAAAAAAATCAGATATGCAATGGTGGTTTCTCAAAGATATAAGAAATTGTTCACATTTTATATCAGACAAATATTTTACAGGGCATAGGACTCTAAAGTGAAAAGGGAGGGGGGGGGGAGGGGTCGTGTGAAATAACGTTTACAGGCTATTCAATTTATATCAGATTGCATGGTGGATCCCTACCGAATGTAAATCAAATGATGTCGGCCAATAATGGAAGCGAGGGTCAACCTAGTTACTTGCCAGGTAAACATTTCGAAATAATGAAAATTTTGTTCAAAATTATGAACATTTTTGTTCGTAATTGAGAACATTTTGTTTCTAAATTATGAACATTTTGTTCAAAATTATGAACATTATGTTCGAAATTAAGAACATTTTGTTTCTAAATTATAAAGATTATATTCAAATTATAAACACTTTGTTCAAAATTATGAACATTATGTTCGAAATTAAGAACATTATGTTCGAAATTAAGAACATTATATTCGAAATTAAGAACATTTTGTTTCTAAATTATGAACATTATGTTCGAAATTATGAACATTTTGTTTCTAAATTATTAACATTTATTCGAGCTTATGAACATTTTGTTAGTAAAAATACGAAAGTTATGGTTGAAATTATAAACATTTTGTTTTTAAAATAAGAACATTATGTTCGAAATTAAGAACATTTTGTTTCTAAATTATCAACATTATGTTTGAAATGAAGACCATTTTTTTCTGAATTATGAACATTTTGTCCGAAATTATCATTATTTATTTCGAAATTATGAACATTTTGTTTGATAATTAAGAACATTTTGTTCGAAATTATGAAAATTTTGTTTGAAATTAAGAAAATTTTGTTAACATTTTTGAACATTTTGATTGAAATTCTAAACATTTTGTTCGAAATAATGTACATTTTGTCCAAAATTTTGAACATTTTGTTTGAAATTATGAACATTTTGATTGAAATAATCAACATTTAGTTCGAAATCATTAACATTATTTTTGAAATTATGAACATTTTTTGTTCGAAATTATGAAAAATTTGTTCTATCAACATTTTAATCGAAATTAGGAACATTGCAAATTATTTTAATTGTTAGTGCAACACAATTTTGGACAAAAATGCTTCTGTGGTGGTTCTTACAAACAAAGTGTTTTTTTCTTTTCATTTGTGTAGCATTGTTATAATAATATATGTACTATGTATATATGTTCGGAAACATTTTCGCGGATTAATTAATTAAATATTTGTTTTGTAATTATTTTCCCAGGAATTTTGTTTGACAAAATAAAAATTCTTTCAAAAACAAGATTTTTAAAGTCAAATTTTGGTAAAAGAGCAAAGGAAAAGGGTTGATGCCGATTAACATATATTACGTTTTTATTCTGACTAACTGCATTTTAATTTTCTGATGCATTTTCTATACATTTAAAAATTCTTCTTGGTTTGATATTTTTTTCATAAGTCATTAAATTAAAAATCAAATGCATCATTCTCATTTAAATGAAATTTTCCTTGAAGAACATAAAATATGCATTTTCATGCAAATTTACAACTTTTTAATATTAAAAAAGATATATTATTTATATATTTCAGGATACCCTGTTTTGTCACAGGGCAGTGTGCCTTCAGATTACTCCGCCATATTCAACCTGAACCCAGTTTACACATCCGCCGGACATATTTCTACGGCGGAGAGGAGTCGAGGATCATCAGGAGGCGGAGCAATGAGAAACCGGTCTGGGGATCGCCGTTGGGATACTTCTCCTTACGGCGGAGATCGAAACGGATATTCGTCCTCACTATCTACCTATCTTTCTCCGCCTCCTGAATCGAGATGGCGGAGAACCGCCTCTGATTCTGCCCTGTACCAGAGTGTAAAGCCTCCAGCACCCCCGGAAGCTAGCAGTGAGGGCGGAAGTCCGGTTAGTTTAAACCTCGAGGATTTAAAACCTTCTGCGGACTTTTTAGCGCAGTTTTATCCAATGAGCGAGGTTCAGATTAAACAGGTATATCATTATTTTACAAAAGTTTTCTTGTGGTCATCATGTTTTTTTATTATAACATGAGAGAGAAAACGAATTTTTAATTTTTTTTAAAAGTAATTGAGGCATGGATCCGATTCACTACAGTACACTTTAAATTTTTATCTGATCAATGATGTATTGTCAACAAAAGTGGTTTCCAAAGCAAAGATGCAAAATTTATTTTATCTTATCAAACACAATTTAAAAAACAATTTTTAGAGTACAGATATTGGATATTTAATGCATTCTCAAAGATACCGGCGTGAATTGGACATGCCATCCGAAAAAAATGAGCGTAATATCCATAGATAAATTTAAAAAAACAGATAGGACACTAGATGTCGTCTTTTCAAGATTTGGATGAATTTTGACAGAAACCCAAAGGAGTTTCGCGCTGTCGGCGTAGAGTTACAAGACAGAAAGATCCTATTCTACGTCGACTGTGCGAAACTTAGCTTGGCTGCTGCCTCAGGGTTATTGTGAACGAGTGTCATCCAAATCTTGAAAAGACGACATCTAGTGTCCTATCTGTTTTTTCATTTAATCTAGGGTAACATGAAATTACGTTAATAGTATACAATAAGAAGGATATTTTGGAAGTCTTAATATTTACATGAAGTGTATTCACTATGTGTAGAATCAGATGGATTTAACAATTCAACATTCCTTAACATTTTGAAGTCAAACCTTATAGAAATCCAACGTATAGTAACAGCTACGTATAGAAACAAGGCGTATTTTCCGGGAGAACATTTTTATATTTTTGAGAAATTAAACGTTTTTGTAAAACATTGCAGCTTATTATTATCATTATCATAATTTCTATTTTTTTAACATACCCTAGACATTAAAGGAGCAAAATAGTTTAATATGTACATTTGTACTGCTCTCTATTGTGTTTAAGTTCCCCCAGATCTTATTATGTACTGACAACATAAATGAATGATGATATGGTTATACATAAAATTGCATGTTACTATTAAAAAAATATTTTATAAAAATGCTATCTACAGTTTTATTTTTAAGAAAACAAAAATTTCTTAAAAGTATCAAAAAGTTCTCCAGTAATGCTAATATGATTTCATAAAATTCCGTTTTACCATTTAAATAAACGGATTTTAAGAAAATTATATCTACTTTACACTGATTATTTAATTTCTCAAAAATATAAAAAATGTTCTCCCGGAAAATACGCCTTGTTGCTATACGTAGCGGGTCCATACGTTGGATTTCTATAAGGTTTGACTTCAACATTTTAATGAGAAAATTTGTCTTTTCTACCTTCGGAAAATTTGCCTAGATAACACACTGATTCAACATTTCTATATTTTGAATAATAAAATTTCACTCTGAGCTAGACGGAAGAAGATGGTCATATTTACGCGACAGTACTGGGACGAATTTTTGACCTCGTGGCTCCCTTACTGATAGTAAATATATCCGGTTAATATCTTCCCAATTAATCTTTAATAAGGGGAGTTATGATTGAATGAATTAAAGATTTCGATCTTCTGTTCAATCTATCTTAGAATCTATCTGTTCAATCTATATTAGAGACCAAGATTTGGGCGTGCGCTCTCACGCCAAAACCTCTAGCAGTATTTTGTCAACTAATCCTTTAAAACTAAGAAGACTAGAAACAAGCGTGCTGCAGTTTTAAATTGTACATGTCTAGTGCTACACAAAGTTGTTGGTTGAAACTAAAGGCCAAGGCGGTTGCGACACATTAAAGTCAAGCCTGTCTGTCTGTCAAGCTTTGATGACTGAATTTCAAAGTTTTCTATATCTTAGAGCGTTAAACTCTCTTCGATTAATTTCGTTCGGTCTAACACAACGATGGAATATCTGTTACCAATATCTACTTGTTAAGTATTTCTAACGTTAAACAGACTTTCCCTATTTTCTCATTCGGTATTTCTAGGAACCTGAGGTTAACGATGTTCACAGCCTGAGTGAGGGAGGGATGAGGAAAGGGGGGATGGAAGTGGCACGAAGCGCCAACTCTCCGTCCTGCTCCCCAATGTCCCCGATGTCCCCGCCAGGGGGCTCCTCCCCCACCTACCAATATATCCCTCCAGACCTAGAATCAGGAACAATAATAATAATACTACTAATAATATAAACTTTTCAAGAGAGTAGTTTGCTATAAATCCTCAAAAGAGTCACTAAGTGCCCCCAAACATTACTTAAAGGGACTGTAAGCGTAATTTATAAAATTTTGTATAAAAGTAGTATGTTTAAACAGATCATATTCAGCAACGCCACTAATCTGAAAACGATTATATCCCACATGAGCCTGAGAATCTCAGGTTTGCTCCTATTATAATTTTTTAATTTTTATTTTGCTTTGTTAATCGATAAAATTGATAATACTATTTCATATGGTCCGTTTAGTCCGTTTTACGTCACCAGAACTTCAGCCAATGGCAGTGCAGTATACTGGTCACGTGAAACAGATGGTTTTCAGATTGGCTGCGTATTTGCTGAATATGATCTGTTTAAACCATACTTTTATACAAAATTGTATAAATATGAATTTTCGTATAATTTTGACTCAGTTTTATATCAATTTCTTGAGACAAGATCATCAGATAGATGTCTTACATGTATCGTTCAATGCCTGAGATTCTCAGGTTTCAGCCTATACCCCCTTTCAGTTTTCCTTTACAATCCCTTTAAAAACTGATACACATTTTAACTGGGCAAGGCTTATAAATTGATAAAATTTTATAGCATCTTACATGCAAATGATCTGTGCGTAAAGACATATTCTATTTACATACTATAGATCAATATAGATCAGGAATTAAATGAATAGTAAGAAGTAGCTAAACCGCGCAAACGCACTTCAACCACTTCCTTCTACGTCAGTTCAAGCTGAAGAGAAGTGGTTGAGCCATGTCTACGCGGTTCAACTTATCTTGATCTTCATTACACATGGAGTTTGTTTATATAAAAATATTTGGTTTGGAAATTTTTTAAGATACGTACCATTAGTCGGGCCGGTGCATGAATATTTCGTTGTACCGGGCCGAATTTCTATCTATCTATCTTCAAATCATTATATTGCCATTTTGGCCCTAAGTGATTAAAATCCTTGTTCCATATTTATTTAGTAGATCAATTTATTAAAGGTTTAATTCTCCTGCATCATTCATTAATTCTATTTAGTCAATTCTGCAGAATAGACTAAGTAGAATTAATTCTGCTAAATTATAAACATTCTTAATTTGATTATTTTTATTTTATTCAATTTTTAATCCACTCTTTTTTGGATTTAGTAAAGAAAAATCAAAAACCGGTATTTTGAAATTAAGAGTCCTTCCCGTTTCTGTACATTAATCTCAAATGACGCACAAAATTTCAAATTAACCGGCTTTTTCATGATACAAGAACAGGACTAAGTTAGTCTCGAGATTACGAAAAAGAGAGGAATACGCATTTATAGCGATATCCACCATTCTAAAGTTCCCAGCTCTTATCAATTACATCAATTATAAAACAGAAATACAAAAAAAACTAGAATCTCGTGAAATTGAAAAATAATTGAACAGAAGATTATTTTTTACAGTATTTTTACATCTTTTAAGAACTGTATAAAGCGTAATGTCAAGGGGATTTTATCGGTTAAATTTTACAATTTGGTACGCCCTTTTGTAATGACTCTTTTTTGTGTGTTGCATAAAAATTAGGAAAATTTTGAAAGCTACAATGTAAATATTTTTTAGTTTCAATTTATCATATTTCAAGGCCATGTAGCTTCCCATTCTATTCCTCTCAACATTTATTTAAAACATTGATTTTTGCCCAGGAGGTAGGGGGGGGGGGGGGTAGGGATGGATCGTTTCCACTTCTTTAAAAAATGATCGTTTCGTTTTGAAAACGACGAAGAAAAAACGAAAAACGAAACGATCGTTTTAAAAAGTATTGTTTTCAAAATGATAGTTTTTCGTTTAAAAAACCTATCGTTTTCAAAAAATATAGTTTTTAGTTCTTGAAAACGACCCTTCGTTAACGATCGTTAAAGATTCATTAACAAGAAACGTTGTTTAATTTTATGATTCTATAGTTTAAGCACGTAGGTGTTTCAAAAGCTATTAAAAAAGAATTGGAAAAATATTAATATTTGTAAAACACTTAAACTATTAAATTACATGTTTCCTACGCCGCGCTAACCTTACAGCGATAATAGTCTGGTGGATGGGGGTCCATGCGTCTCGCCAATCCTAGCCATAGCTGGTATTTTTAGAGGAAACCCATGAGTACTCGAATTGTAACATTGGCTGAAAATTTTAAAATTCAATTCAAGCTTGTAGCTTATAAAGAAAATAAATTATAATTTATAATGCTTTCTTAAAATCAATTTCAAGAGTATAAGAGACGCATGTGGAAAAGTTTTCAAGGGTTCGTTATTTGTAAGAAATACAAAATATTCCGTAATTTTTTTTCTCTATAAACTGTATTTATTCCATTTGTTTTTATACGCAGACATCAATTAGGTTTGATTGATGCAATTACACATGGTTTCATGGATGAAGAAACACTGTCCACATTCTCCAATTTTTTTTTCTTCAAACTTTATAATTTTTATAAACCTTCATGTTTTATCCCTGAGAATTTAATGAGAAGAATAATACCATGATAATGATGGTGATAATAATGCTATTAAAGGGAGTGTTCGCGAAAAATGAAAGGCGGTATGGGCTTACTGCGAAAAATAAGCGCTTTTAATCGCTACTAATCTTACTTCTACCTGTTGCGTCTATAAGGAGAAAATTGTTAAGAACTACTCTTGCTGAAGAACGGAGCGTCCGTACAAATTCAGAAAGTTGCAACATTCAACAAATAATTTAAATCCAAACAAATTATTCAGATATTACAAACAATCGAACATCGATAATTTTTCAACGCATTCGTAAATAGTTGATATTTCATAATATTTTTTATTTTTTATGATATGATAGTTACTTTTGAAAACATTAAGCAATTTAACAATTTTCTCCTTATAGACGCAACAGATGGAAGATTAGTAGTGCTTATTTTTCGCCGTAATCCATATCCCCCTTTTAATTTTTCGTGAACACTCCCTTTAATAATGATTAGAATAATATGTTAATGATAATTTTAGGATGAAATATTTATAAACATATTTATCTTCTAATTTTGAGACTATTATTAAAATTATTACAAACTGTAATTTTCAAATCCTGTTCTACTTGCAACGTGATGTTGTAGAAATTTGATATTTCAAATTGTCTATTCTGCTAGATGCATATATAAGAGATTGCAGAAATTTAGGGCTTAGCTAATTCGAAATTAAACCAGAGCTAGGAATTCTTGTATTGCGGATATCGAGATCAATGCTTGATACTTTGTTAATCTGCAGAATAATTTAATCTATATTCGAAAACCGCAGTGTATTTGTGCCCGTGCTGGAATCTCTTGTGTTGGACCCTGTTCGCTTAATCTCGATATTAACCGTGGACACTTTTGATTTACTCAATAATCTTCTTATTTGGATATCCCTGCTGGGTTCTGACAACCGAGTGTTCTCTCATTGATTGTCGCAAAATTTCCCGGCTTCTGATTGGCTGTTCGGTTGAACTTGAGACCATCTCTAATGAATTTAATCCGCAGATCAATGCTTAATCTCATCATTGCAGTTCTCATTGATCTTGATATCCACAATACAAGAGTTTCCAGCTTTTTGAAAGGATAACTGAAATTAAGGGATTAACCATTGATCCTCAAATGAAAAGTGTTCATTGTGGATATCGGGAACAAGCCATGTGGGCTCATGAGTATCCAACACGCTCTGTTCATGTCATTTAATTATAAAGGATCAATAGTATTTTTTAGTTGAAGTGAAGTTGACAAAAGCATTCTTATATCGTTGATTTAATATTAAGGGTTACCCGCACAGGATGAGACTGTAAAGACGACCCAAAATTCTAAAAATATGAGAAAGTGTAGCTTTATTTTTGGTTTCTGCATTCATTTTGATGGTTTGCTGAATGATTAAGCACAGAAATAAGCCAATATTTGCCATCAAGGAACCCCGAATACAGGAAAAGGGACTAAACAAATTCCGTACAACGCTTATGAAGTCTCATCCTTTATTGGTAATCCTGTATATAAGTAATTAAAAATAATAACCTAAAGGTTGTAATAAACATTAACTTTAAGCTTCCCAAAATGAAAATTTCGATCTAGTTTTTTATCAAGAGATACATTACTTTGCAATAAACATTTAACAACTGAACGTATATAACGTATAATTTTTCTTTCGTATAAACATTGGATAAAAATAGGTAAAATAAATCCTCTATGCAAAGATGTCAATGTCAAATTTACAATGGTACCCCTATTTTGATGCTTGGATTCATCCTTGATCAGATTAAGGTTTCAAGGATTCCGTTGTCGGGCTTTGACATCTTTAACACAGGGTCACTTGAATATACGCTTACAGTTCCTATAAATCTAAAATATATTATTTTGTGCCACCAGGATTTCAAAACTTTCGTCTTGATTCTCAGCCACAACAGCAACAGCTGGTTCAACAACAACAACAACAACACCAACAACTGCACCAGGAACAGCAACAGCTATCACAACAGCTGCCGCACCAACAACTACAAAAAAGACAACAATTGACAAATCCCCAGATGATTCCCTCTCATCACCAACATCACCATCAACACCAACAACAACAACAGCATCCACAGCATATACCTGAACACCTGCCACAGCTGACTTTCCCTGATTTTCAGTTTTTCAGGGATTCTTTTCAGCACCAAGACAGATCAACACCCACAGGTGGAAAATAATAAAATTATAGGGTGAACCAATGCACATGGGAACTATAGAGACGACTTTAATATCGTTTCTGATTTCCGATATTTGTACCAAAATAAAGACTAAGCGTCTTATGGGCTTTAGAATATGGAATCTGCCCTCTTTGTATCTTCAAAATTGACTATATAAGACTAAAATTTGAACCATTTTGTTGTTATCTTATAAATTAGAATCCAGATTTCTTAATATCTCAAATTTAAAGGTGCTAATATGGCAAACCACATTTTTAAAATTCAAAGACAAGCATGATCTTAATATTAATTGTTTTAACTAGAATACTCCAAAAAATGATTCACGTAATAATGCTACCAGGATCAAACAAAATTTGAAATTCGTCACTAAATTCCCACGTTTATTGGGACACCCTGTAAGACATTTTTATATAAAGAATTCTGAAATTTTACCAAATGTGGTACTTAAAAAATATTCTAAAATTACGCACATTTAACATGAACAGCAATAAGTTTATTCCGTAATTTGAAGATTTTTTATTTAGTTAATTGACATTTTATTAAAAAACCTAAAAGTTTTAATCGAAATATTTAACTTTTGAAATCATTTTATAAATCATACATGTTCGAAGCTATGACAGGAGTGATAGGGATATTTCACAAAATTTTATATCCCAGTATTCTGGAATATCAGATTGTTTACGGAAGTGAAATGTAATACTTAAGTAGTACACAATTTTATAGTCTTTTAAGATGAAATATGCGAATTTTTTACGTAAACTTCGCTGAGCGGGTGGATATTTTACATAATTGTCCCAAGGGACGTTAAGTAACTTTACGTGCCTCTGTTGGGGGAATCATATGTTGGCAATGTGGGTAAAAATTTGGTAAAATATTAAACATTTCAGAGCCTGCTTCCCCTCACACCCCGTCTACCCTCCCGGGGTTTATAATCACCGACTGGGATAACTCCAGTGATAACTTGGACAAGGAGTTTGTTGACACTATGCGTGAAGGTCTGGAACCTATTGATGATCAACTGCTCGCTACGCTCACGGGACAGAACTCATTTGTGGACCCAGCAACAGAGGAACAGTTTAAACTCAATTATTAAAGGGACTGAACCATAGGTTCCAAGTGACTCCATTTATCTGAAGAATGCAGGAGATTTTGTCATCATCTTCTCTTTTTTTAATTGTGATATCTTGTGGATTTCTGGTGCAGAAAACATCAAGGAATTGTTAAATTAAACATTTTTTAACCATAGTCACTAAACAGAAAACGGATGAGTGGGTGCTGTTGTAAATTGGACATGCATTTTTTTTTGCAAGAACAATCCTTTTAACTACATCACGTGATTAAATTCTGTCTAATGCTGAGATCATGTTATAAATTAATAATATATCCTATTAATCCAAAAGAATGGAACATCATGTATCATAATGTTATTATTTCCTTTTTCCAAATTTCTTATTGTGATACTTCACAGTTATCCATGAACGTTGCAGGCTCTCACGCAAAAATCGATTAGAATTTTGCCAATTACTCAAAAAACCAAATCTTTATTGTTCTAAAATGAACATATTTAGGGTTAAAAAAAACCACAAGTGAGTTAATTTAAAATCAAAGGCCAAGTGTTTACAACACGGCAAAGTTGACCCAAAGTGGGTCTAAATAAAGATTTAGTTCTTCACACATTTAAATAAGGCACTCTGGATTGTAAGGATTAAAAATTATGCCTTAGACACCAGATGTGAAGTACATGCTGCCTCCGATGTAATTATAACTAAGATTGTATTTTTAAGAGTGTATTAAAATAAGTTTAAAACATTTGTAGATTTATCGGATTACCAATGAGGAAGATATCATCGTTTTACTTTCTTAGAAACGGTCAGAAATTGCAATTCCTCCTGTTATCTGCTGCACTAATCTAGCTAGAAGTATGTTTATAAAAACCGCAATGGAAAATAATCAATTTTTAAGAATAACTCATTTATCTCGTAATAAAGTGTCACTTACGTTGACAGTCCCTTTAAGTACTATAACTTGCCAGCAAGTAAAGTTGAACACACTTGTACAAAATTATTCAGAACTGAATTTTAGAAGCATCCATAATTGCTTTTTGTCGTATCTTATATTTTCTAATCAATATTTTAAAAGCATAATGTTTATGTTTTTTAAATTTGCATTCTATGATTGTTTATATATGTATATAAAACAGTGTGTTGGAAAAAGCTCAAATTTTCAAAGTTTGACAAAATTAACATGAAACTTTTTTGTGTAGAAATTCTAAAAGACCAAACCAATGACAAATTATAGGTGTTGAGTATTATTTTTATTTTTCATTGAACCATTTTTTTCATGGTAATGGAATTGTCTATTCTTTCGATCTATTTCCCCACCCCCTTCCCTTGAAAAAAAAATATTTTTATTTTGTAAACATTTTTGCATTTTTAACTGACACAAATTCAAGATTTTTTCTAGTGGGTTCGCCTTAAATTCTGAACAAAAATTAGAAATTTTCATGATTCTGTGAAATTTATTTATTTTTGAAAAAAGTTTGCAAAATCACCATCACTTTCACAACTTAACAGCTACGCAAAACAAATGTCCAATAAGTTCGGTCAGATTTTACATACAGTGATAATAAGAAAACTTTGAAATAGGAAACCGACTCTTACAGAATCAAGTTTAGGAAACCGACTCTTATAGAATCAAGTTTAGGAAACCGACTCTTATAGAATCAAGTTTAGGAAACCGACTCTTATAGAATCAAGTTTTAACTTTAAAAGACCAATCAGCATGACACACAGGAATTGTGCAATGTAAACAAACCCATTTTACTAAACTGGTGGTTTGATAAAATATAGTATTAAAATAATATCGTCTTCCTATGCCATTGTTTTCTGGTTATCACTGTATTTATTCAGAGAAATGGTTTAACTAGTTACCCACTTTAAGGACGACATTAAACTCTTGATTGAATTCAACGGTACCCTGCAAGCGTTTTTTTCTGACCAAGTATGATCTAGTTCATGATATTCATTTTTTACTGATAATTTTCATTTGTGGGTTCTGTACGAAAATGACTTGCGTATTTTTCTCTACATAAATCTACAGAATTAAACACTTTTTGAACTAGAAAAACGACAATATCTTTCACATTTTTCATCAAATGAATTATTCAAAGGTTCTCTGTTGTGAATTTGGCAAGTACAGTGTTTAATATTATGTACAAATGACATAATTAACTTGTAGAATACAGTGTTTAATATTATGTACAAATGACATAATTAACTTGTAGAATACTGTGTTTAATATTATGTACAAATGACATAATTAACTTGTAGAATTGTATGTTTTTTTGTACAAACGGTGCTATATACTTTATATTTACAAGCACACTGCACAGTTCAATGTTTTGTATGTACAGTATTGCTAAACGGATTTTATGGACATGTTTGGATGTATGTGCAATTGTGCAATTAATAGAGATATCATTTATCCATTTTCAGAAGTGAAATATAAAATTGAAAGGCGCGAACCTTTAGATTAGAAAAATGCACAATATCAACCTTTTTTGTTCGAAAAATTTGTACTATTCATCCTATATTGATGTACAGTTCCCAAGGAGTATGGAATAGAAGGAAGATACATCTGACGCGGCCCGCCCTACCATATGATTATACATGCTTTGCAGACGGTATTTGCATAAGAAATATTCAGAATAGATTATTGTATACGCGTTAATTGTACATCAGACAAATATTTCTTATTCGAATGGAGTACCGTCTGCAAAGCATGTATATTGTATAATCATATGGCAGGGCGGGCCGCGTCAGTTGAATCAATTCCTTCAATTCCATTCTTCTAGACAGTTCCTCCATGAAATTTTTACATGTTTTAAAAATAAGTTTGAACGTTTTTTGTCCAATTTATATCGTTAACTCCTAAAGGACCAATACTGTTACAATATTAAATTCAATAAATAAGAAAATATTAAAGACATGATTATTTCTTTAACGAGATGTTATTTCTACAAAGAATCAGTGGGCAGGGAGTCTCAATAAACAAGTCATGTTCAATTAATAAATTTTCCATCAATCCTACTGCAACAAGTATTTTTCCACTGAAAAACGAAACAATTTTCAATATATGAGCTAAGCAGGAAACTTTTGACTGATGGATATCGGGATTAATGTTTGATCCACTCTTTTTTCTTAATCTCCAGATTAAATGATGCTTGTTCTCCTCTTGTTAATAATCTGGAGATTAAATGATGCTTGTTTTCCTCTTGTTAATAATCTGGAGATTAAATGATGCTTGTTCTCCTCTTGTTAATAATCTGGAGATTAAATGATGCTTGTTCTTCTCTTGTTAATAATCTCCAGATTAAATGATGCTTGTTCTTCTCTTGTTAATAATCTCCAGACTAATTAACTGATCGGGAGTAAGGATATCCCATTCTAAAGTTTTCAGCTCAAGTTGTTTTATTAAACCCATTAGAAGCGAATATATGGAAATATATAACCAAGGAAAAAATTGTTTTTACCCATTTACACAGAAGCTGTTTGAAAGTTGCAACTGTCTAAGCTTGTATACACAGAGTGAACAAGCAAACAGTGTAATTCTTTGTCATTTTCTTTTTCTTGACATTTTGTAATTTTGTAATAGTTAGTTTAGTTGCAACAATTGAAAATTACAAAATTTCTTTCTACAAAAAGGAAGAAAAAAGACGGTATTCATTCTACAGTTTTTTAGTTCTTACTGCCCTACTCCAACGAAGTCTTTTAGATCGATACCAATTCAGGTATATCATTCCATATCATTCGGTCTTACAAGATACAACTCAATCATAAACTATTCCGTTCAATAATACTCTAGTAATATCAAACCGGATATGACTCTATCAGTATTCTTCGGTGTATCCATTTTACAAGATACAACTCAATCCCTGTAGTTAATACACAAGGCATAAGAGCTATTCCGTTCAACAATACTCTAATCAATATCAAACTGGATACAACTTTATTAGTATTCTTTGATATCTGTCTCACAAGATACAATTCAATCCCTCTAGTTAATACACGAGGCATAAGAGCTATTCCGTTCAACAATACTCTAATCAATATCAAACTGGATACAACTCTATTAGTATTCTTTCATATCTGTCTTACAAGATACAACTCAATCCCTCTAGTTAATACGCGAGGCATAAGAGCTATTCCGTTCAACAATACTCTAATCAATATCAAACTGGATACAACTCTATTAGTATTCTTTCATATCTGTCTTACAAGATACAACTCAATCCCTGTAGTTAATACACAAGGCATAAGAGCTATTCCGTTCAATAATACTCTAATCAATATCAAACTGGATACAACTTTATTAGTATTCGTTCATATCTGTCTTACAAGATACAACTCAATCCCTCTAGTTAATACACGAGGCATAAGAGCTTTTCCATTCAATAATACTCTAATCAATATCAAACTGGATACAACTCTATTAGTATTCTTTGATATCTGTTTTACAAGATACAACTCAATCCCTCTCGTTAATAAATGAAGCAAATTATTTCTCTAACACCATAATCAAAGTGGAGTATTATTCCAACTGACGTTTTTTAGTTCTATGATACAGGTTAAGTTAAAGAACATAATTACAAGTTTTACGTCGTTATCTACAAGTGCAGTTAGATAAATCACAATACAAGTTATTTACAAGCGCAGTTAGTTATTTATAAGCGTAGTTAAGCTTAATCACAATACAGGTCTGACGTTGTCAATTTAGTTACAATGCACAACGTAATTTATCTAGGTGTGTTCAGGTTTATACATATGAGGATTGCTACGATATTTATAACAACTGTACACAAATCAAACCTTGACTATTTTTTTACCATTACAACAAATCAAATTATTTAGATTTTTAAAGATCTTTACAATTTCTTTACGTACTTTTAAAACACTTGGAAAAAGATCTTATCACATGCAATTATGCAATTGTAAATCTGTATTTTGCCATTTGTGCAACTTAAAGAAAACTTATTATTAAGAATATAAATACAGGGCAAAATCTAAAAACTGCATGATACAGGGTTTCCAAACAAATATGACATTTGAGTGACGACTAGAAGGTCGTCTTTGTCAGATCTCTAAGGAAAAAATATGTATTGACAAATGAAAAGGTGACATACCACTTTAGGGAAAGCTTATAAATCTGTATCTTAATGATACAAATTCTATAATCAGATGGCTGACAAAGATCAAATATCAAAGATCTGTAAATTGCATCAAAACTGTTTTGTTTCCTGGGACACCCAGTAGGAGATTGTATAAACCTACTGTCAGATAAATACAATGAAGACGACATTCGATTTTAATTTTGATTTATATCAACCTGTCAAACAACATTGATACATATAAACATAGAGAAATTGTCAATTAATAAAATCTAATTGATGACTTGTTATTCGAAAAAAGCTTGTTGACAATTAAAACTTAAATAAAAAGTCGTCTTCATTGTATTGATATAGTCACCTACCTACCACTGTACTAAGACAGAAACTTAAATGACAACTTGAAACTTTTAAAGTCAATCTGAATTATAATCTACAGAGCGTCTCATTATCATAATATATTATCTCTAAGTTTTAACGCCGAAATAAAACCATAATACTCGAAAAAACTAGTATTTTCCGCAAGGAAATTCTTAATCAATTTTTAAAAATGATTCATACTTCTTAAATTTTCTGATTAGTCCCGAAAATCGTAATTTAGACCGATTGACGATCTAATACGATGTGGGACACCCTGTACGTGGATAAAGTAGAAGACGACATTATTGAGTTTAATTTGAGTCTATTCTATACTCTAGTCTTCCTACTTTTTTAAAAACTTTTTTTACACAATTTTTTTAAAAATTATTGATTTAAATTGTTAATTAGCTTCTAGTGTGAGGCGTTTATTTGTAAACCTATTTTTGTAAATAAAATTCTAGAGTTTATTATCACAAAATACGGCTTATATGGTCCTGACATTTCCAAAATGTGGTCTGTCTGTTTAGAAAGTACTTAAAAAATAATAGTATTCAAGGTTACAGGTATTTATTAGAGAGAGACAAAATTTTCAGTGCCAAATTAATATCACTATCACCCCTAAATTCTTTAAAAAAATTCCGGTCTAAAACTTGGCCCTTGACTATCTAATATTTATTTAAAATTGGCAATTCTTTGTCTGAATGTCTGTATCCAATAAACGGCAAAACGGCTGAACCGATCGGGCTAAAACTTTTTTTTGCAACTCACACGACCCCAAGTAAGGTTTATGGACATGGCCAAAAATGAAAAAAAAATTAGATGCTTTAAAATTTAGAAAAATCGTCGAAATTTCAGGTTTAAATGAAGAAAAAGCGGCCGCTTCCAAAGCATGCAGCATTCAAACGCTTAAATTGTTACTAGAAGAGGGGCGTTAAGCTTCCTAAAAGCCCAGTTAAGCTTACTTAAAAACTTGTAATTTGTAAAAAGATTGTTAGAAATCAAAAATTGAAATCGAAAAATGTCTTTATTTTATTGATATATACGGCGATTACTGTTTAAAAATTAGCTTAGAAACCAGAGAGAATGCCCATCCGACCTACGAAAAGTGCCCATCCGAACTAAGAAATATGCCCATCCGACCTATGAAAAATGCCCATCCGACCTACGAAAAATGCCCATCCGACCTACGAAAAGTGCCATCCGACCTACAAAAAATGCCATCCGACCTACGAGAAGTGCCATCCGACCTACAAAAAATGCCATCCGACCTACTAAAAGTGCCATCCGACCTACAAAAAATGCCAATCCGACCTACGAAAAATGCCCATCCGACCTACAAAAAGGCCCATCAGACCTAATACTAAATTGTCCAAGCGACAGCTTAATTAAAGTAGGTCGGATGCACGAATATGCTGTAGGTCGGATGCCCATCCGACCTACAGTGCACAGCTGTTAAAACCACGTGTTTGTAGGTCGGATTGGCAGATTGGGGATGGGCGTTGGTCCAAAAATACAGCATCGACAATTAAATTTAGATTCCTTTCTGTACATAGTATTTTGTACAGTTTACAATTCAGTGGAATAAAACTGGGGAATAAAAAGACGACTAGTCACTTATATAACAACATCAAATACACTTAAATGCCAGAATGTCGTCTTGTAATTCAACAATGTTATTGGTATCGCTTTACAGTATGATATAAAAAAATAAATTATTTAATGAATTTTCATTTTTTAGAAGATTTACCGCGCTGAGGATGAATGTATTAAGTTTGAAGATGTTAAGAAGCAAGTAGTAGAAGATTTTAAGGTTATATATGAAGACAAGGCCCAGCTAAAAGACGCCAAAACCCAATTAGAAGATTCTAAGAAGAGTTAAAGTGCTTGCTGATGATACAGGAGTAGTACATACTGGAAATCATCCCATCTACAAGCCCATCAAGTGAAACAACTCAGGATTCAACTCAAGTCCAATCAAATTCCACCTGCTTACTTCATCAAAATATCAGATGCTTTCTAACTTAGTTCCAAGTCTAAGAATACCATTATGGAATTATTGGTCACACAAACAGTCACTTTTCTTTATTAGTGTTTGAAAGTCTTAATGTTGAAACATTATGCCAAACTATACATAAATGTAAATTTCGGCATCACATGTTATTTTGTTACACAGTAATTTTTTCATTCATTTCTATGTAGACGCCATTTGTAATCAGTTAAAGTGAAAAGTGATATAAACCAAATTAAAAATTTATTTATGGCATCAATACAAACAACTTTTTATGGTTCTGTTTCAATATTGTACGTCACAAACTGGCCAGATATCGAAATTCCTCTTGGAAACTGATGGTGGTGTATTTGAAATAATTCAGAAATTTCCCAACTACCTGTTATCAGGGAAATTTCCCAAATGTGTGGGTATCTGAAAAATTTCCCAAATGCCTGGGTATCTGAAAAATATACCCCCTCAAATTACTATAGGAATTTCCCAAATGCCTGGATACCTGGGATATTTCCCCCATTCCTCGGTATCTGTGAAATTTGCTAAATGCCTTGGTATCCAGGAAATTTCTCAAATGCCTGGGTATCTGCAGAAACAGAAAAGCTATATGCAGAAACGGATCAAATTTTGCACTAATTTTGCAGACATTTCGAATAGAAAACCCGCTCAAACTTATTCAAGAGTTAAAGGGACTGTAAAGGAAAAATGAAAGGGGGTATAGGCTGAAAGCTAATCACTTTAGCTCTCGATCGCGACCCATGAAAGTTATATCTTGAGAAATTGATTTACAACTTTGTCAAATTTATACGAAAATTAATATAAAATTTTGAATAAAAGTAGTGGGTTTAAAAAGATCAAATTCAGCAAATATGCAACCAATCTGAAAACTATGATATCCCAGAGAAAGCTAATTGTAACTTAGGTTTACTCCAATTCTAATTTTATATTTGTTATTTCTATTTTTTATAGATTTAATTTATAATATTATTTATACGTCCATATTGCTTTACCAAAAATTCCACCAATGGCAGTGCATAAAAGTGGTCACGTGATACAGGCGGAGACACGTGACCAGTATACTGCTCTGCCATTGGTGATAGTTCTGGTCACGTGATTTAAGTTTAAGATTTTCTAAATTTTACATATATGAACTTTCGTATGATTTTAACACAGTTTTATATCAATTTCTCGAGACAGGAACATCAGATAAAACTTTCATGGGTCACGATCAAGAGCTAAAGTGATTAGCTTTCAGCCTAAACCCCCTTTCATTTTTCCTTTACAGTCCCTTTAAACAAAATTGTGACAAGTTTAAAAAATAAGTTAATAAAATAATTATAAAAACTGTTAAAAACCATCTTTTTCGATTTTTATTCTCACATTAATGGCAACAAAAATAATATAATTTATTTATTTTTTAAATAATAATATTAACTAAATTTATATGAATTAAAAGTACTATACAGCAGATGTTGAAAATTTAAATATATTTTAAAAAATTCAATTTTTTCTTCAAGTAGAGGGCGGTAAGCAAATCCAAACATCTGAAAATATTAAATTTTTTTTTAATAAACTATTGTGTACTCATGGCCATTAGGTATTGTAAAGAAAAGGAAAAGTCGTTTCATGAAAATTTCGCATATTTCGCGCAAAAAAAATATTCGCATTTATATGCATTTCGTTCGCTCGCGAGAAATTTAGCAAAAACATTTGGAATATGAAGAAAATATGCAAAATTTTTGCGAAAATACAGGTTCAACACATATAGTTTGCGCGAAAATTTTTTTGCTTCGTTTCCTCATTTTCGCGAGAAATGCAAAATTTAATTTATGAAAAAATTAGCTTGGGAACCCAGCGTTGCCTAGATTACTTAGTTACTCCGGCCGTTCATGATTTTACCAGGAGACTAAATTTTCACTGTTTAAGTCGATTACATATCTAAATATATTGTTGTCATCTCTGTTTGGTTGTTTGGGTGTCAGGAGGGTCTGTGTGTGCTTGTCCGATCATAACACAGGAACCCCTGGACCGATTTGCCTCACATTTTGATTGGGGAACTCGGGAGACCCACGGGAATGTTTTTAGCGTGGCTTGAAGTTGAGTGGGTCGACTTTAATAGCAAAAATTTAGTTTTCCGGTAAAAAAGTGCGGGTAAACGGCGGGAGTAACTATGAGCAACCTGGGCAGCGTCGGGTTCCCAAGCTAGCTTATATGTATATATATATAAATGAATATATATGAATAAAATGTTGCGTCTCAACTAATAATAAATATATAGGATTTTTTAAAAATATATATATAATGATAAGAAGTTTACAATTTGTTTGAAAAGTACGGTGCTCTCCAAGGTCGAACACGTTTTGTTAAACATTGTCAGCATTAACTTAAAGAGACAGATCGGCAAAATAAATGTGTGTTTTTTTGTCAAATGTTTTCCTTAAAAGTTCCGAAAAAATTATCCTTTATGCTAATTTAATAGATAAAATTCGCAGTGTAATCTCAGATGTCCCCACTATACGGTGTTAGGCGATTATTGTAATATAATGAAGACGACTTTTTATTGTTAACAAGCTTTTTTAGAATTACAAGTTTAAAAGCAATTAAAAATAAGCTTTTTTAATCGACATCTTCCCTCTGTTTCGATGTTAGTGTGTAGCCACGCTGTTTAAAAGCTTTATATAAGAAATTAAATAAAAATCGAAAGTCGTCTTTATTTTATTGATAAAATGCCCTGCCATCGTACTATCAAAACTTTCTAATACCCTCACAACGTTTACCCCATAAGAAAAACATTTTTGACGTAACAAAATAATCGATTTTGAAATTTCAAATATTTGCAAAACCAATTTGATCATTGATTCAATATTTATTCTCTCAGTTGATTGATAGATTGTTTTGGTTAGCATATCATTTGCTTGTGATATACTAAGTTCTACTTAATTATTTGAATAATGCTTTTTAATCGATTTATTAAGTGGTATAGATTTATAAATTAATCAATTACTTAATAAATTGATTAATTGATTGAGTCATAAAGTGAATAACTGATTAATAAATTTATTGATAAATAATAAATAAATAAATAAATTTATAAATTGATAAATTCATAATTAATAAATTAATTCATTATAAATTAATTCATCGTGCAGCGATTTGCATTAATATAATTAATCCATTAATTAATAATTTTTCAATTAATTGGTCAACAATTAAATTCATTATTTAATTGATCTATCTATTAATTGATCAATTGATATTTTAATCAACTGATTAGTTAGATTATTGTGTAATGAATAATTACATTAATCGGTTAGTTGACTTGGATGAAAATTGATCAACTGATAATTAATTGATTAATAGATTATTTGATTAATCAAATAAATGATTAATTACTTGAATGATTGATTAATTAATTACCTTCCCAATCTGTTGAAACACAAACAAATCCATCACAGCATTTAGAATCCTCCACTAGTTCTCCACACATTGACATTAATCCACCACATCTACAATAAGGAAATATTTAGAATCCTCCACGAGTTCTCCACACATTGACATTAATCCAACACATCTACAATAAGTAAATATTTAGAATCCTCCACCAGTTCTCCACACATTGACATTAATCCACCACATCTACAATAAGGAAATATTTAGAATCCTCAACGAGTTCTCCACACATTGACATTAATCCACCACATCTACAATAAGTAAATATTTAGAATCCTCCACCAGTATTCCACACATTGACATTAATCCACCACATCTACAATAAGGAAATATTTAGAATCCTCCACCAGTATTCCACACATTGACATTAATCCACCACATCTACAATAAGGAAAGGGATTGTAAGCTTTCTTTAGAAGATCCAACGTTTAGACTTTATCCTGGTTTGGTTTGGGCCTTAGGGGTGGGCTAATTTGTTATTTTTCAGACAACATCTCTAATTATAATGGGTTTGTTAGGGTTATCCAATGTACCATTGACAAATTTTATCAGATCAAAAATGTGGAAAATTTTGCAATTTTTTCTAGGTTTAAAGGGAGTGTTCGCGAAAAATTAAAAGGGGCATAGGGTTACAGCGAAAAATAAGCGCTTTTGTTCGCTACTAATTTTATTTCTATCTTTTGCGTCTATAAGGAGAAAATTGTTAAAAACGACTCTTGGTGAAGAACGTAGCGTCCATACAAATTCATAAAGTTCCAACATTTAACTCGGATCGTAAAATAATCAATTTAATTCCAATAAATCATTTAGATATTATAAACAATAGTCATCGATTATTTTTCGACTCATTCGTATAAAGTTAAAATATTTTTGATTTTTTAAAATAATATTTCGCTGGCGCTGGATTTTCGAACATTACTGGAAAATATGACAATGTCTTCTTCATTATCAAAAATCCTCGAAACAGGAATAAATGTTTTCAAAAGTAACTATCAGATCATAAAAAATAAAAATAAATGATTTTCCCATTAAAGACGCAACAGATAGAAATAAGATTAGTAGCGATCAAAAGCGCTTATTTTTCGCCGTAAGCATATACCCCCATTTCATTTTTTCGCGAACACTCCCTTTAAAAATATATCATTCTGACAATTCCTATCATATGTTTTTCTTCAATTGAAATGTGCAAGTCACTTTGGTACAGAACCAAGATTGAAAATTGTAACATTTCACAAATATAAACATTGATATCTAATTAGTACACTTTTGACATTTTTCATAACTTTTTACAAAGAAAATCTGTTTTTAAAACAACTTTTAATTTGTGTCAAATTTAAAAGTCGTTTAAGATTTCTAACATGATTAATGAAAAACATGCACTTTGCACATTCAAGCAGTGGGCCTTCATATTAAAATTTAAAATAAAAATATGAGTTTTTTCCCACAAACTCTGATTTACTAACCCCTATATTTTTGCAACCCGATGTTGTAGGCTTTTAATTTCCAAATTTGAGTTCTGTTAGAGATCAAATAGTCTAAATTTGAAAGATTTACACCATCAGGTTGCAAAGATATAGCGAGAAGAAAAATTTGTGGTACAGAAATTCATCTCAACTTATCGAAATTAGTTCAATTGGTTTATTTGAAAATGTGATTAAAATACCTTTTTTGAATAAGATCTTGTTCAGCGGACACAGCTGTTAAAACTAATATTATTAAACAAGCAATTTCTTTACTGAAAGCAAACATTTTAAAGATTCCACTTTTTAAACCCAAATAGTTAACGCTTTATAGTCCCGTTGTTATCTTTACCACCTACTGTCTGAAATTAGGGATGGGCAAAGTCATGAAAAACAAAAGTAAAAAATGATTGTTTTTCTTTTTCTTTTGATTTTTTAAAACCTAAAGAATCGTCGATTTGAAATTAAACAGTTGAAGCAAAATAAGCTTTTGAAAACGAAAAAAACAAAACCATAGTTTTGAAGCAAAGAAGATCTTTTATGTCAATTTGTTTAAAAGTAAAACTAGATTGACTTTTATGCTGAAGAGAGGTATTCTAAATGTGTTCTGAGACATTTCAGCTTTTCTGAATTTTTCTGTATTATATTAATGGCCTTCTCATAACACTACCATAGTAATTAAGTTTGCATACTTTAAATCATATTCTTTTCCAAAACCAACTGTGTTTATTTCTTTTAAAAAAACGATCGTTTGGTTTTCAAAACGATCAGTTTTTTATAAAAAAGAGTGTTTTAAACTCGTCTTAACCCTATTCCTGCTTGGGGGGGGGGGTGGTCGATTTGACCCCCCTGTAGTTTTTTTTTTACATAACTCAAAAAGTGTTGGTCTTAGGCTGTTGAAATTTTCTGACTTTTCCTACATACCCAAAGCCCTCCCTTTAGGCCTAAAACCGGGCTTTAGTACTAACTGCCTGAGTCCTCAGGCACACTGCCTGAATGACTGCTTTTTCATGTAACAAAATAAATCTTTGTTTTGACCCACTTCCACTTGTCAGATTTTGATAAAATTTAGCTTTTTGGAAAGCCTTTGACATAAGGAAACGAATTGAACAAGTTTTGCGAAAAAAATTGCAAATTTTTTGCAAACAACCTGTCAAAGGAAATTTGCACATTTTTAGTTTTTCTTGATTAAAAATCAGGTTATTTAAAATTTTGTAAAAGTTTTTGCATATTTTAAATGGCATGGTCAAGGGCTTTTCAAAAATGTATAATTTTTCATTTTTTGGACAAATTTCTTTTTGCAAACATTTTTAAAATATAACTGGATTTTGCAATAAAATTTTTTTGCAAATTTGCAAATTTTTTTGCAGATTCTAAAAGTAGAGCTTTCCAATGATGTATCATTTGTCATATTTAGACATCAAACATGGGATTTAGAGGGGGGGGGGGGTCAAATTGAACCCCCCAGCATATCCTGGTTTTCAAGTACCCCAGCAGAGATAGGTTTAAAAAAAACAATTTTCGTTTTTAATTTTTAAAACTATTTCCAATTCGTTTATTCCAATTTCTTCAAGCACCAAACTCGTTGTTTTAAAAAAGTAAAAAATACCCATCCCTATACATCTGCAACGCAAATATAGATTAAAGCTCTGGGAATACTATGCGCGTCAATTCAAGATAATTTATATAAATTCAGAAATTGCAAGTTAGTTGTAATACAAGTAAACTAACAATTGTAGCATTTTTTAATCTCATGTCTTCATGCGGAGCCACGTTCTGATAAAAACGTGAAATAACGGCAAGTTAAATAAGACAGTGTAAATTCGTACTTTTACATTTCTCAAAAAGGACATTTCAAAGAAACAAGAGCAAAAATTTCATAATAGAATATGAAAATGAAAATAGGAAATATTCAATAATTAGACATTTCACAGTGTGACAGTAGGAGCATAACATAGAAACTAGAGAACACATTCATAGTATCATCTCATGCATTAGACAGGACATTTCACCGATAGAAAATAATTAGAAGTTTTACATTTTTTAGAATAAGATCTTCAATAGTTTATACAAATTTCACAACTGTCTTCTCATAGATGGATATTTTTTGGATAGAAAATATTTAATTGACAAATTTCAACGACAAAAACATTTTATAAAGATAGACATTTAATAGTAACTTTATTTAGTAAAAATCTCAACATGAAAAAAATACTTTCTTTGATAGACGTAAATTTCATGAATAAATTTATTGATTATAGGATTTATTTGAATAAAAATATTCAAAGTCTGCAGTAGTGAGTAGTGTGTATTTAAGGAAAACAAAAAATTGGCACTAACCACTTTAAGTTGTGTCGTTGGAAAGTTGTGCAATTTTCTTTGCAAAACTTGTGCAATCAGTTTCTTCTGACATAGGTTTTCAAAGAGGTATAACATGTTAAAACCAATGACTGAAAGTAAGTCAATGTTAGGTTTTTTCAAACGGCAACTTCCCTATAGTTAGGTTAGGCCTTCTGAGGCAATGCAGCTGCAATGTGAAATGAGTGCAGCTTGGATGGGCTGGGTAGTCAAGCACTGCGGTAAGGACGGATTTGGGAAATTGACCCTTGGGAAAATCCCAGTGGGAAAGTACCTAACTTAACATCACCGAAAGGAAAAGGGTTGAAAGGAATTGTCGTTACTTTCAACAGATAAGATATTTTTATTTTATATTTTTCTTTTCCTATTCAAAATAATTACAATTTACATCCAAGTGGAATGGGCATATTTTTTTTAAATGACAAAAATGTTCATTTTGAAACTATTTTCTTGAGATTTTGCATAAAGGTCATATTAGTGATTAACTCTAAGAATGCATTTTGAGTTTGAACATAAAAACTTCAAAAATGAAAATAGGACCGATCAAATTCAATTTCCAATCGAAAAATTGAGGGTAACAAAAACAGGAAACAATAAACCAAAAAACAAATTTATCAAAAAATCAGGAAGGATATTATAACCCAACATAATAAAGGTCCAATTTGTCCCTAAAATTAGAAATACCTTATTTTTTTTTAAATCGGGAAAAATGAGCAAAAAATGTTTCCATCTGATATCATATAAATATTTAAAAATATTGTAAAATTTAATTAAAATTAATTTTTAAAGTTAAAAACACTAATATTCAACTAAATATTATGTGTATTCTGCTGAATTAAACAAGAATCGAGTCTTTGTCATGTTACTAAAATTTGTTTATCCCTATATCTTTGCAACCTAATTGTGTAAACCTTTGATATTTAACACTTATATTATTTGATCTAACAGAATTCGTAGTTTGAAATAACTAAGTTCTAAAACATCAGATTGCAAAGATATAAGAAATAGAAAATTACAGTTTGTGGCAAAGACTCAATGCCTTTTCAATCATGTGTACACGAATATTCCAGCAAAAATGATGTTTATTTTGTCATGTTACAACTACAAGTATAATAACTAGATCAAAAATACTTTTTCTTTCTCGTTCTCTCCTCCTCCTCCTCCTCCTATTCTTCCTCCTCCTCCTCCTCCTCTTCCTCCTCACCCTCCTCTACTTTCCATATATCCAAGGGTATCTGTCTCCTCCAGATGATGACCCTGAACTTGCCGAAGAAGAGTAAGGATAACTACCTCCAAATGCATAATCCCCAGAATAGTATCTATTTGGATTATAGTTTCTAGGATATGTATTTCGATTCGAGTTTCTGTTCCGAGGATTTGGAGAGCATGTACAATGTGAACATAGCTGTATGACAAGCAGAAGGACAAAAGCTAGTTTAAATAGTTTCATTCTAAACTTCTTTTGAGACTGAATTTGAGAAAGTGGGTACCTGTTTAAATATGCGCGATATCAAAGAAAAAAGTTTTAAGTATTGATTTCAGAGAATAGTAAATAAACTTGATTTAGAATTGGATGGACTTTCTGACAAGACAGATTATCATGACAAGATAAATAATTTTTTTAATGACGTTGACAAAGAGGCTTTAGCGCACCATGATATGCAATTTTTTTATTAAGAAAAACAGATAAACAACGAATACTGGTGGAATTCTGGGGCATGACAATAAAAAAAAGTCGTCACGCAGTTTCAAGTTTTGAAATTTGCAGACAACCAAGGACAATCCAAATTTTAATTAAACATTCCAGAAACATTTAAGTTCCCGTTATTTAACCCTGGTACGATTGGGAGGGGTTTCTTCTGAATAAATTAAAAATGGCTTACATTAGAACTTCTTCACTTTTTTAACATCATTATAGACGTGAACATATTTTGCAAAAAAAACTTTGTTTTTGATAGGGTAGGGTGGAGAATTGTCAAACGTGGAGTTGGTGTTTGAAAAAAAGTCAGAAATAGTTAATAATTTTTTTATTAATTAAGCTACAGGGCTAAAAATCATATATTTGAAGAGGCCTTGAAAAAGGGATAATTACATGTGTCAGTCATATGTTAATATTTGTCAAAAGGAAAATAAATATTTTTGAAAAATCCTCTCTTACACCCTAAGTATTAAAGGTAGAGGTTCAATTTTTTTTAATTAGCAGATCTTGAAAAATTGAACTGGGAACATGTATCACACTCCCCTTTCTCAATTCTAAGGGCAAAATCATAGGAGTGGGGGAGGTGGAAAACATGCTGTATTAGACAAAAAGAGCTAAATCGGGATAAGGTTAAAAAACCAGTCATTCGTTCTTTTTTTCTTTTTTTTTCTTCTGCATGAACGGTTATTTGGTTCGTTAAAGATTTCAAAATTAATGATTTTTGCCGTTTGTTCACGAAATCTTTTGTCAACCCTGACAAACATTTACGAGTGAAAAATAATTTAAGATTTGATGGAGCGCACTAAGAAAAAAAAGACTTTTTGGTAAAAAATCCCATATTCTTGGAGTCCAGATCCTTAGTCCTTACTCCTTATACTGAATAAATTTTGTTTTCAGTTATATTTCTGGAATTCTGTTTTCATCGTAATTGCATGTAGGTAATTTAACATAATTATTTCTAATTTTCAATTACAGACTTGGATTCTTCGAAAATTGAAATTGCGTGACACTATTGGAATATGCAGGGTTACCCACAAATATTGAGACTTTAGAGATGATTTTTACGAAATTTGATAATTTCGTTTTCTTGCATTGAGGGTTCCAAACTTTGTTATTTCTTATCTGGCGGCCAACTATTTTGGCTAAAATTTGTGCAGTATACAAAATGAATATTAAATATTAACTATCTATGATATGCGTCGAGAAATAATCTATACTATAGTTTGTAATATCTGAATGAT